GTAAGGAATTTTCTAGATTCCTTAGAGACAATCTAAGGGACTATCTGATAGGTTGTAAGTACAAAATTGCTGACTTGTGTAATGCAGGTACACAACTGGACAATTAATATTTATGTCTGGGTACTGACTGACAATACTAGAGCTTCTACTTTGCTTTATTTAGGGAGTTCCTTGGTAAAGTTTTGAAATGAATGTATTTTTTTAATAGTAATTTTGGTAATCCTGATTGCTGTTTGTAGATCCCAGCAGATGCTCCATGGACTGCTCAACATGCCACACAGTGGGACAATATGACGATGAAAGAACTAATTGACAAACATTGCTGGACAAGGTAATAGTTTTACTGATTTAGTCATTAAAGACTCAAAAAACCTTGTTTAAAATAGAGGCGGTGGCAATCACATACAGTATGAAGTATGAACAAAAGAGAATAGAAAAGGAACAGTATGAGATATAAATCAAGACCAATTTCCCTGTGAAAACTGCATACACACTAATGCCTGATATCATATTTAAATTTAAGGACTGCAAAAAACTTTGCAACTCTCTTCGTCAATGTCAATGTGACCTCTGAACCTCATGAAGTCTCAGCGCTCTGGTTTCTTTGGTATGTGAAGCAGTGTGGAGGGACAAAAAGGATATTTTCAACATCTAATGGAGGACAGGTCTGTGATCTGTTTTCTAAATTATTTATGACTGCAGTGAGTACATCCACCTAAAGAGTAACAAATATGTATAGAAATATGCAGCACAGTTTGGTGAAAAAGATTTATCATAACTATTATTAGTTATAAACTTCTCTTGCCATGACGATATGACAGAACAGAAAAAAAAAAACGTTTTTATTTAAGTTCTCCTTTAAATACTTTCATGATTCTATCCTGTGCTTGTTAAATGTTGTTGTGCTTTTATGGACTCAGAAATTACATCAGTGGGCCATCATTACATCATTTTTCCAGTTCCCCAGTAACAGATAATAGTAATGTGTGAAGGAACTAACATTGCTGCTTGGGTACTTATATCTATAAAATTCCAACAGGGAATTGGTCCTATATATCATTGCCACAGGGTATTATATACTGTATATAGACTACATATAGCATTATCAATTGGTAATATATATTGTGCATACAGCATCGACAAAGGGTATAAAATAATGTATAAAATGTAAGTTACATGGAGCATTGCAACAAGGTTTTATATGTTCTATATATAGCATTGCTGTGGAGTAAATGTCCTCTGGAACTCCTCCAGTGGGCAAATTACCTACAGAGGTTATTATGATGGAAGCAGTAAAGCATTCAGCATGAATTATAGTGTTTTTGCTTTAAAGAGATGGATGGTGTACAAACCATTGTCCATAAAGGTCTTTCATGAAAGTATACACAAAAATACCCTAATGTATTTCTTTGTTTCACACTCAGGAAAGAAAATTCATGGGGGGATCAGGGCAGATTAGTGAACGGATCGCAGACCGGCTGAAGGGCAACGTCCACCTAAACCAGCCTGTGATTAAGCTCTTGCAGACTCCAGCTGGTGTGTGTGTCGAAACACTAACTGGAAATAAGTATGAGGTAGGCAGCACTTTCAAAACATGTCCAGTACTAAAAAAATAAATGTGGGTATACACAATTATTGCACTGGATGTTGCAAATAGACAGTTCAGAAATAAGGTAAATATTTCTTAGCCCCTGAGCTGTATTAAAAACATATTGGAAGATATTGATATTATAACATATGAATAATGACAGAATTAATATTTTAAGTCTTCAACCCATGATGTCCCTTCTTTCCAGCATTAAGAAGTAGTTTCTTTTTAACATTTTTGTCTAATTTTTAAAACGTAATTGATTATTTTGTGCAATTTTCACATTTTGTTTGCGGCTAAAATCCATGTCTTTATTTTGTTTAAAGCTGTGGACAAAAATTGCAGTTGAATCAAACACCATGGGTGTGAATGATGAACTTCTATAAAGACAGAAGGCATGTTCTGCATTCAAATAGTGAATGTTATATAGATTTACTTACTGAAATATAAATGCCTTTTAGAACATAACATCATCTCAGTGGTTATACAGAGGTCTAAGGGAAGCCTGTGTTAGAGGTGTGAAGCAGAGCAGAACTGGGAGATCCTGTAAATGGTTTGAGTTTTATGTTACAGAACTCTGACTGTCATCTGTTTAATCTGTCGTTTGTTGCTGTTCCATATCTTTTAAGGCAGCCTATGCCATCAGTGCTATTCCACCAGGGCTGAGCATGAGTTTGCATTATGAGCCCCAGCTGCCTCCAGTGAGAAACCAAATGATCCAAAGAGTCCCAATGGGGTCCATCATTAAATGCATGATGTACTACAAGAGGACCTTCTGGAGAGAGAAGGGTAAGAAATCTGTGCAGCAGAAACAGGGAGAAACACTGGAAAACATGTTTCTGTGTGATATAAGCTGTAACATATATGTTAAAAAACTTAGAAAGAAAAGATAAGCCTTGGGTGATAAATACGGTTCATGAGGGACAACAACCTCCAAGAATCGGATGCTTTGTGAATGTAGGATAGTTTTGGCTGGGGTGCATAGTGGTGCTGTGGTTAGCATTGCTGCCTTGCAGCACTGGGGTCCTGGCTTCAGTTGCTGGCGTGCTATCTGCATGGACTTTGTATGTTCTACCCATGTTCGTATGGGTTTTCTCCAGGTGCTTTGGTTTCCACCCATGGTGCTTTGGTCCAAAGACATACTGGTAAGTTAATTGGCCTCAGGGAAAAATTGGCCCTAGCGTGAGTGTGTGTACGTGTTTATGTCTGGGTGTGCCCTGCTATGGAAAGGCCTCCCCATCCTGAATGTATCCAATCATGCACCCATTGCTTGCCAGGTTAGGCTACTGTGTCCCCTGCAACCCTGTATGGGATAAAATGGTTTAGAAAATGGACGGAGAATTTTGGCTTAACTCACGGTTTAGGGGCGGCCCTCCAGCCGCAGGATGAGGTCGCCTGGACCCCCATTCAGATAGGAGTAAACCAAGTGGAAGCTGCAAGGTGGAGATGCGGAAGAGGAAGGTTGCATGAGACAAATGTAAAAAGAAGTATCGTATTAGATATACAGTATAAACTGTAGATATTTTTAGTAATAATTATGATTAGGAGCAGCTGGATGGGATTGACTTCTTGGCGTTATCCATCCTAAATTTCAGTTAATAATTTTCATTAAATTTAATTCCCACCATAAAAAACAGATTTTTTACTTTGTTGCAGGTAAATATAAAGAATAGGCACAGCATTTCATTCACTGGTTACCTCAAGGTAGAACCACATTACATGAGTTTACAAATGAAAAGAAGCAATTCAGCCCATCTTGCTTGTTTAGTTTGCTAGTGTCCAAAGATGTCATCCAGCTGTCAGCTGTCAAGAACCTGTGGTATTGGTAGCGTGTTGAAGCAATTTCTTCTTCAGGCATATCTATCATTTGGCTTATTTTATCTCTCTTTAGGGTACTGCGGAACAATGATGATCGAAGATGAGGACTCTCCCATTTCAATGACCCTAGATGACACCAAACCAGATGGATCGTATCCCTGTATTATGGGGTAAATAAAATAATTAAGGAAGGTATCAATAAACAAACAAACCAATGGTTGCCGCTACTTGACCTTTAAAAGCCATTTTACCCATAATTTAAAGATTATATTAGACAGTTCTGGCCAGTCAAGAATTGCCAAGAGGCATTTTATTCCAGATCTTGTTCTGGTAATTGTTTTTCTGAGTATCAAAAACTGTAAAATAAGCAATTAATTTATGCCTACTCCTTTCTATGGTCTATTGCACTCCAATTAAGTAAAATAGATTTCATATACTGTATATATGGTTATCACGTGTCAAATATTGTTTTGGCCCACATTTTATAAAGGGGGAGATGTTTTTTTTAACTGCTTGCAAATGTATTTCCTCATCAAATACTTGGGTTCATCACACAGTCCCACAGAAAATGAAGAAATCAGTTGTGTGAAAATGAAATTAAACCACATATACTGTTCTTTTTGAGTGTGAACACTGGAACTTTATTTTCTGCTTCTCAGAAGAACCCATGCATTCATGAATACAAAAACGTATAAATAGAACTCAGAATATTTTTTGTTTTATATAGTACCTATGCAAGTCAGTAGGAAACAAAAATAAGTTAGCTTAAACCCACTGTACATGTGCCAGGTGTGTGATGTCCTTTACTACCAGATAGAATTCCAGTTGTCGTATAACAGCTGAATGCCATCGATAGACCATCAAAAAGTGCAGTTAATGTGTTGCACTGTGTTGGTGTCAAAACAACACTGATTTTCATGAATACATTTCTTTTTAAATGACAAGACAAGCTGGATAAGACTTCATGTTCATTAACTTCCTCTAGAGGGCAGTGAGAGGCTATCAGTTGTGTTCCCAACAAAGTAGCAGTCTTCATAATATATTTCAAATCTTTTGTTTTAGGTTTGTTTTAGCAAGAAAAGCAAGAGATCTTATCAATTTGACTAAGGATGAGAGGTACGTGAAGTTAATGAATTCTAATTTAATACTGTTTAGATTTTCTCTGTTCTGACATACAGTAAGATATGCACATATATATCCAATATTTACTGTACATTATGTATAATATGCATATGTTCTTTCTATACCTTATAAGATGCAATGTTAAATACTGTAGCTTACTATCTAGTTTTATGTATGTATTTTGTATGTATGTAATTTGATTGCATGCATAGATTCAGTGATTTCTAGATGTCTTCGGTTTTGTGTTTTTTATTGTGAAGTAGTCTGAAATTATAGCTTAATTGTTTTTTAGTATGATAGTTAGATATGAGAATTAAAGAACAAAAAAGAATCCACAGAATATTTTTGACTAGTCTTCTCAATTTGTACAGGAAAAAACGTATCTGTCAGATTTATGCAAAAGTGCTGGGAACAAATGAAGCATTGCATGTGAGTATATACTGTAATAACTCATTAAAGTCAGACAGTGCTGATTTTTTATAATTGGCATCTGGTTTAACATTTAATTCTGCAAAATTAGACTGCAGCAAAAACGTTTGTGGTTATGATTGATGGATATTCATTGACTATTGTATTGCTGGAGACGAAAAAGCATTGCCTGTACTGTTTTATGGTTTCTTTATATGGAACCATTACTATTTATAATGCGGAAACAAAACGGTGAAGACTAGGCAAAATAAATTGTCAAAAATCTAAAAATTAAACTTGTGTTTAATAGTAATATAATGGATGAAGTCTAAGTGCAGAAAGACATTATATTAGTATTATGAATTTAAGCAACTTTTAAGCAACTTTATCAACACTTCAGCATGTACAGTATAATGTGGAGTTTTGTAAAAATAAACTACTAAGTCTAATAACACCACCTAATACAAGAACCAAAACAGTCTTAAAAAACTAGACTAAAGTCTACCATCATCCAAAAGCATGTGTATTTATTTATATATTCTCGGTCTTACAATTTCAAACCCACAGCCTGTTCACTATGAAGAAAAAGACTGGTGTGAAGAACAATATTCAGGAGGCTGTTATACTGCCTATTTTCCTCCAGGTACCTTCTGCCAGTTCAGCAGGTATGTCCCTTCACAATGTACTGTTATTATTACACAAAATGCTGTGAGAAGCAAAAATGAAAAAAAGTACTAGACATAAAATGCCCTTGCTATTAAGAGATAATATGGCAATGGAAAAAATTGAATTAAGTTATAGTGCATGGAAGGCAAAATCATAGCAGAGGGAAATTTTCAATGTTCTATACAAACAAAAGTGAGAAAATGTGAAAAGGCAAATATAGCACAAATATAGAACCACACAAAGAGAGTACCTTTTATTGTCTGTGCGAAAGAACAAAGCAAAAACTTATACTGAACCTTAAAGCCGATACTTAGATATTACAATCATACATTGTGGGACAAGGATGATGTTTTCCCATTAGTAAAGGATTCATTTGTGCTTATGATATTAGTACTTAGGAGCGTGTAACTACAGTATGTCTTGTGATCATAAATGTACTATGAAAGTACATTTATATTTTGCCAGCCTTATTCTGAGATCTGTTACATAAAATTTGAGGTTATGTACAAAAATTACAATGAGGTCTTTTTGTTTTTAAAGTAAGGTTTTGTATTCTAAAACAAACGTGTGCAATAAGTGAACAATAAAAATGGTTCACATGGATTCATTTCCAAAATTCTTTCATCTTATATGATATTCAAATTTTGCTTAATCACTTCAGTTGCAGATATTTTAGCCCATACTTTTCAATCTAACTGAAAGCCGCTTGTGCGTGACAAGGATTAAAGTATTTTTTTATTTAAACAGATAGGACATGCAGATTGTGTTCTCACTGGAATAGAAAGTATAATTCTTGCTCAGTCTTTGCTGATGACACAGGAAGAAGGAATACACCCTTGGTATTGGCTAGAATTGAGTGCCTAATTCTCAAAGGCAACTCAATCCCACATGACCTTACATATTGTCTGCTCGCTGAATAACTACTTCATGCCTGGCTGACACTAAAGGATCTGCATAATTTCCATCCCTGGGGACATCCATAAAATCAGCCTGTGACACTGCTAGCGCTCAGCTGACTTATCCCAGCTCAGTTATACCTTCCATACAAATGATCTTAACCCACAACTGTAAGACATAAGCGCACTAGAGGGGACAAGCATATATGTGGTCTTGACTTGCTGGAATTTCATTAATGTTACCTCCTCAGGATGACTGGAATAGTAGCTGATGTTTTCACTTCACCTGCTGATGCTGTGCTGTTAGGCAGAATTTTGAAAGATTAGTGACTGAAGGAAAGCAAAAGATCAATTGGCAGGTATCACACTGAAAATATATATATATACATACTGTATTCCATTCTCGTGGCAGAAGCCTAGAGATAATAGGGAAGTCTCTAATACACATTTGGCAGTTTATTCAATATATTTAATACATATTTTTGCAATAAACACTGTGGCAATAAACGTCACAGTAATGTGCTACTTATACATTGCCTAGTAATAACTTTATGTAAGTTATGAGAAGAGTGTGCAGAAAATAGAAGTTATCAGCTGTAAAATTGCTGAGTAACATAAAAACACCTTTTCCCAAATGAAATCACAGGGGGCCTTTTAATCAGACTGAAAAGTATTTAATACAACGGACACTTCATTGGATTCTGCTGGACGTCACTGCCTTTTGAGATATATTCCATTCTATCAATTAAATCTTCCATTCTATCATTCTAGCAATTGAACTCCAGTAATATAGGTATTAAAACAAACGCAGATCAACCCATGATTGTAATTTAACACTTGTTTCATTGTTAAATTAAAAATGGTTTCACTTCAGTATTTAAACTACTCTAACTAAGCTCATCTGTTTTTTTCTATTTCATGATAAAGCCCCTTTTGTCGTTGAAAGCAGGATGTATTCTTCTGCATCTGTTTTGTCCTCTTGTTAATTATATTCATAATGATTATCGATCAAGATTTTCCACTTTTCATTTTTCTATCAATGCATAGTGAGGAAAGGAACCTTAACCACAGGGCGGCGCTAAAGCACCAGGATAATAAATGGAAAGCTGAGGCCAAGGCCACTGTCTTCTTTTAATTTTGAAGATCTCTGTGATTTACAATCTGTCGCTCTTCACACAAACATGATATAAAAATGCAACCTATGACTGCTAATAAATGTTTATGTGTTTGCCTGACAGTATATGATTTGAGTAAGAATTATTTTAGGAGAGAAATGAGAAAAAATTGCAAACCTGTCAACATTTAAGAGCCAAATTGATATATTGTAGTATACAAATATGATATAGAGGTGTTCTAAAGTACCACTCTCAAGTGTCTTGGTATTTTACAATACAGAGTTAAGAACTACAGCCATATTTTGCAATTCTTAATTTTAATAAACTCTTCAATTCACATAATAATTATTATAAAATTAGAGTTGATCAAAATGTATTTCCAAAGTGTTTTCCTGGGATGAAATTAATTTACTTTTGTAGATATGTTTGAAAGAAATGTAGCCATAATATTTTATTACAAAATTTTCAACAAAAATGAATTTCAAATATTTGATTTATAAACATCAAATAAATAAAACATTCCTTGGTCTAATGTTAAGAGGTGCGATCTTTCCACTTTCAAGTGAAAGTCACTATTCCAGTGATATTCTGACACTCAGATTAGGAATGTCTTTCTTCCTTGATTGCACAGAGAACAAAGTGTACTAGGTAGCTTGTTTCATCGTTTTAGCCACAGAATTCAGTAGTCCTAAAGGATATGAGGGCCCTAGCAGTTAAAGACTAGCTTCCCCACCATAAATCCCCTTTTATCATATTCTACATTCAAACTATATATAAATCTTTAAACTATGACAGTATATGAGGAAGCAAAATCTACATGATTCTAATATACGATTGAATGCATTTTGATTCTTTTACTTTAAATGATACAGTAATATCCAATGCACTATTAGAACATATTTTCTTAAAACACGTTCCTTTCCTGCCATTTTGAAAGTCAAATTTACAAAGTTTAAAATGTAAGCCCATCTGTCTACTGGGAAAAAAAATATTTTTGAAAAAGATTTTGCTTTGCTGATGCAAGTCTTATGTATTCCTTTTAATATTTCAAAGCCCTGAACCAAATTCACGAAGTGATCATATTCTCTCCATATTCTCTCCATTGTGCATAAGCAAGAAGGCAGAGATGGACAAATTAAAACAATGTATGAAGTATGCCAATATGAGCTTTTCTCTTAGACTCAGAACAATGCTTTAAAATCAGTCCTAACCCAGAGTACACTGAACCAAGTACCTTGGGTGTGTTAATCCAGGATGACTCAATTACAGTACTTGTCCACTCTCTCCTCCATCAACCCTAAAAGTAAAAATTAAACTTACTTTGTGTAGTGATACACTGTTCTCTAGTGAATGAGAAATGATCCATTGCACACATTTAGTGGATTATCCTGATCCCAATTTTAACCTCTTAATAAGTACTACTGCTTTATTTAATGGATTTTCCAAAAGAAACTAGGTGCAGTGGTTATGGTTGCTGCTTCACAGTGCTTGGATCCTGATTTCAACTCCAGACCTGGAATGCTATACAGTATGTGTGGAGTTTGTATGTTTTCCTTGTGTTCATGTGGATTTCCTCCCACAGTTCAAAGACATACTGGTACGTTAATTGGCTTCTGGAAACACTGGCACTGGTGTTTATTGTGCACATGTTTGTATTTGTATGCGTGCCTGCACTGAGATGGACTGGCGTCGCATCCAGGATGTATCCTGCCTTGTGCCTGTAGCTTGCCAAGATAGGCTCCAGCTTCCTCACGACCCTGAATTGGACAAACCAGTTACAAAATGGGTGGATGCATGGAGCCAGGAGTGTGACAAAAAATAAGCAAAGACCTTCGGCCTTACAGTGTCATCTAGAAATCATTTTCTACTACGGTTCTTTTTGTGCAGAGTTCTAAGGGAGCCTTTTGGTAGGCTCTTCTTCGCAGGCACAGAGACAGCAACCAGATGGAGTGGATATATGGATGGTGCTGTTCAAGCTGGTGAGAGAGCTGGAAGAGAGGTATGGAGATTATAAAGGCCAGGGCAATCATGGAATAGAAGATTAGAAGATCCCATAGTAGGACTGCTTTGTATTTGAACTGATTAAACTCATTTTTTACTTCATACCACATGGTGGCAGAATAATTACAGGTTGATATTGTACATTTTACAATGTGGGATTCTAGAGCAAGGAAGTGACTTGATGAAAAAAAAAAAACAGACAGAGAATCCATTTCCTGATGCTGTACAAATGTGTACGTTACCAAGATATCTCTGGTCATGGTTTTCCCTTAGCTTGTGTGCCTTATCCTAAGTTTTACAGGGTACTGTTTTGTTTTCTTCCTATTCAACTTGGCATCAATTATTAGGTCTCATCTAGTGTTTGTATTTTATCCCTCTGCTTCCTTCTCATGTACAGTATATGGTATTTGCAAGCATGGGCCCACCTTCACTTTACAGATAAGAGTTAATGTGTTGTTCTGGTCAACGTTAGAAGTTAGCGAGGACAGTTTCAGGATGAAGAGACGTTAGAGGATAAATACTATGATGTGAAGATAGCAAAATTGCCATGCTTAGGATACATAGGATTCTCAATGCAAAGAACCTCAAGAACTTAGATGTGGAACGTGGAAAGTTTTAGTCCGTGTGTCCGGAAGGAGAAATGTAAAGTTTTCAACGTTTCTTTATTATACCTGTGTCACATCATTGATGCTGAATGTTTATCTAAAGTAAAGTAGGGCTGCTTAATGCATAATAGTTCCTTCAAAACATCATAGCTGTGTCTAGGACAAGCTACATGTGTGACATGCAGGTGTTATGAGAGAGAAGGCTTTGGTTAGACGCTACCTTTGGTGACCGGGAATTGTATCACAAATAGATAAGGTCATGTGCTGCCTGTCTGTGTTCATAGTCTTAAACATCTTCGTTACTGTCATGACTGTAGTCCCTCCCCCTTAAGGGCACTCCAGCCCTTTCACTTTGGACTTGATTTTCTGTACCTGTCCCCTGTTTCAGCCTGTTCCCAGTCCACCTTAAAAGCCAGGCGCTGACGTTAATCTCCGTATCGTGCGAGTCCAGGACCTGGAAGCGCCTGGTCCCGTTAAGGTTTTATTCCCTGTTCCCGTTCCCCTCCCGCCGGTTCTGACCCGGTTCCAGTTTTTAATCCTTTGTTTTGGATGGATCTCCTGGCCATGGACTTTTGTGCTGTTTTGGATTCTCCCTTGGACATCTTTTTTGGATTGTTTGCCCCGGAATCACCCCCCTGGACACCTGTGCACTTTGGACACGCCCCCCCCATATTAATTCCGGATTCAAGCATGGCTTTTCTCCCCAGTGTTTCCTCACTACCCCAGATTGTGTCATCTGCATAGGGTCTGGAAAGAACTGTTTCGTTACAGTTATTGGATACAGTGGTCCTTACCAGTAGATTAATGTGAATTGAGCCATTTGAAGGGCACTCATTGTAGATGCCTACTCAAAGTGGCCAGAAATTCAAATAGTACCACATTTTCTGAAAATGGACAAAAGCAAATAATAAGATATTAGATACAAGAGAAAGTATATTTAGATATAAAATGATGGGTGACCAAGTCTGGTGACCACAGTAAGACTTTTATTTTTAATTAAATATTTTAAAATAACAAGTGATCAATATGAACACATTTTTATGAAGTAAATCAGTTGGGTAGCTGCGTCAGAATGCGTAGGCTGCATAGGAACAAGTAATAGGTTTATTCCATGATGAAAAGAGAAGAAAGAAAACACAAAATGTTTCGGCTGTGGAGCCTTCTTCAGGTGTAAGAAGAAAAAGCATGGAATAAACCTATTACTTGTACATTTTTAGAAATGCATATATGAAATATCTTATAGTTATCCATCTTAACTTCAGGAATACAAAAAAGTATGCTACAAAATATTAATTTACTTACATTTACCCTTTCCAAAAACAATCAGGATTAATTTTAAGGAAATGTATAAATAGTAAGGTTTCAAGTTGAAGTCTGTAAATTCAATTCACTTTTTAAATGATTTTTTCTTCTTGAGAGTGATTATAAAGTACAACTACAGTTCTGAAGCTCTTTAGGAATTTAGGAAATAATAATGTTCAAATTGTTTCATACTGTTATACTGTATATACAGTACATACTTATGAGCCATACTGATGTCCATTTGGACACACTTTAATTAGCTATTGCAGATCATTTAGTAAAATGTAGTAATGATATTTGAATGTGGCTTCATGCAGTTAAAGCATTGCAAAAAATGACAAAAACACACAGCACAATATCTGGATAATCCCCATTTACATTTACAAGAAACAAGGCATGAATAAAATTCAGTAATTACAGCATTTTAGTAATTGATCTGTAAAACTTTATTAACTGTATCTAATTTCACACCTGCTAATGAAGTCTTAAATAGTGTAACAGTTTCTGAGGCCTGTGTCTTTTCAGAGCTTTATGCAACCCCCCAGGCAGACTGCCTCATTATATAATGGGAAATTATATTCAGCAGGTCATTTTGTGCAAATAGGTACTGTGTACTGCATATTTTGCACTTTTATGATTTGTATGCTCTCAAAACTAATGTCATACACTAGATATTTATATTTAATGTCTTATTCCATAGGTCATATGGCAGAATGGGATACCTTTGTAATTATTTTACACATCACTAGTTTAAATAGCTTTCACTTAGCAAATGTCTAAGCCCTCTAGTAGTAAAAACAACCTGTATAATGTTTTTTCAGGTACTGCATGCAATGGGTAAAGTATCCCAGTCAAAAATCTGGAAGGAAGACGTAGAATCACAGGTATGTTTTTAAACGTGTAGCTATTGCGCTGTGACAGACATGCAAATTATTCAGTTTTCCTCATATCCAAAATTACAAATGGGTTCCTTAAATTTGAAACCACACAGAAATTACACTTGATTGTTACTCATTCTCACATAATTTCTGAAGAGATTCATTTTCAGTTACAATGCAGTAAAATAAAGATAATTATTAATGAGGAGAATAGAACACCCAGGCACATATTGTTATTGATGACCGCAATGAGGGTGAAAACGGTATCCTTTGAAACATGTGACCAAATCTGTTTCTTCCACAGGAAGTTCCAGCTGAACCAATTACAACAAGTTTCTTAGAAGAGCATCTGCCTTCTGTCCCTGCATTTCTGACAATGATCGGAGTCTCTTTTGCATTTATCACAACAGCCGCAGCCCTTGGGTCGGGCATCTTAAAGACAAATTCACGTTTACGTCTCTTTCATTAAATGGAAGTTCTTGCCTGAAGTTCAGGAGGGATAACGGCAAAAGGCTAGTCTTTCCCATCTGGTGTTAATCAAAGCATTACTGAATTGACCTATATACCTGTATATAGCAAAACACCTCTTTTTGCATTTGTTTTAATGCATTAACCCTCCACCCCATCTCCACCCTGCAGCTACCCCTTAGTTAACTCCTCTCTCTAAAGTTTAAGCCTCCTTGTCCTATGGCTAAGGGGTTGCCCTTATCCTACCTAAAATACTTTCACTAATCATTTAACATCAATTAGATGTTGTTAATCATCATGAATCCTTTTTCATGTAAAGTGCATTGTTTTATCGAACTGTAAATCTGTGAAATGTAAGATATTTGTTATATGCTTAAGATCACGCTTCTTCATATGTATTTGCATATCACATCATCTTTCATGCTGGCCAGCAATTTTATTCTAACCAAAGAAACACCTTTACTTTTAGTGATATAGTGTAAGCTACTTCATTAGCTCCTATTTCAATCAAAGTCCCATCAATCTACAATACCCAGAATACTGTCCAATCAGGGAATAGTGACAGAGATCAAATTGCACTCTAGTTTGTTCAATTGTATAATTTTATCATAACACATTTTGCTAAGAAACACAAAAAACACATCCCATTGGAAAAAAAAACAACCTTTAAATTCGGTGTTGAGCTGCCAAGTGTAGTCTTTGAGTACTTCAACTGGAATAAGAATGTAAGTGACACACATTTCAACTTTAAAGAGATGGGGTGGCAAATTAAGCTTCTACACTGTTTCCTATTACAAATAACCAAACTTAAACAGATCATAAAGGAAAGACAGAGTAATGAAAAACAGTTATCATATGAATCTTATGTGCAATTTATGTTTTAGTGAAATGAAGCTCATTAACAAATCTACAATGAAAATAAAATGTATTGTAATTAACCCCTGTTATATACAGTAGAGGAGAATTAGCTAAATGTTAGTAATATCATAGAAATGTGTCATAGAAACTAATCACTTCCCATTATGCAAACAGGTGGAGAAGGTAAACTGTGTAATTGTATTTCATCACAGTTAAATGTTTCATAGAAAAACAGAAGATCTATAGTTACAGTGTTGCATTCACAGTCACTTCTCATAACACAGAGTAAATATGTCCTAATTACTTTGATATTTGTATTAGGTTTTTACTGTATGTCATCTTTCTTGTCTTCATGCACAAAATGTCTTGTGTTGATTGTTAGCAATGGTATGAAAAAGAAAACATGAATTCTATCAATCTCTTAAGAAAGAAATAATGTTGAAATAATTGAAATTTCTTAAGTGTGGTCCTGAACTGTCAGTGCAATAGCTGTCATTGTCTCTTAGACTGTGGTCCTCATCAAAGCTTAATTTCAATACCTTAAATTACATGTTGTTGGTTTTCAAAGTCAAGTGTAATTTTGAAATAGTACAGCAGTCTGTGAATGCTTACTGTATATAATGTGCCTGCCTAGTTAACTGTAGGAAACAGGTTTACATACAGTAAATATGTGATTTGTGTATATTTAAATGTATAGTATTCCTGTCTAATGTTATAGAGCAGAATCAGTACTATTTGTGCTTGCTGTTATGGGTGCATTGTTTTAAATTTAAGTAAATATCAAAAGATGTATGTACTGTCACTAGGCAATTGTTTTTTCTATACATCATGACAGTATCAGAAATTAACAGAAGATCTGGCTAATGTGTCCAATCAGACATCTAAAAGGATACACAGGCAGAGGCTAAGGACAAAACAGTATCAATACAAATACACAAACAGGAAGCACAGTTCAGACTCCAGGAAGCTATTGAACCAAAAAGACAAATGGCAGCTGGCAGACCACTGAGCTGTTATTTATTACTTGTTGAATTGATGCTGTGGTGTGTTTTAGCTGTAATCAATGCCAGAGGTGGACCAATCTGCTATGAGGGTTATTTTTTGGTAGGCAGTAAATTATTTATACATAGCTGGAAAACTATGCTCAGTACATCTGAAGGACTGATGAAATACCTTAGGATACATTCATTTAAATATTCCTGGGATAACTGCAGATTTCTATCAGCATTTATAGAAAGGTGTTTTTTTATGGCTTACAAACATCTTGTGGGTTTTAAATTTTTATTTTATGTAATTCGTATGATGCTTACAGCAGTGAGATATTATTGAAAATCTTTCTTTGAGAGATAGAATTTCTCAAATTAGCAAAATATATCAATCAAAACAATTACATTCTACAGTGTTATGCATGTCCTATATTTATCTGTCTTTGATTTTTCGCCTACTTAGAATTGTGTGGGTTCAATTTTGTTCTTTCAGAAATACAGGTGCACTATTAGAGACTGGAAGTGAAAAGAAAATTCTCTGCTAATCAGTAATATGCAACTTCCAAGGGGGTGAATGTTGGTAGTTTCCATAATATAGTTTTTGTTATAAATGTTGAAGCACTCTTAAATCATGGTTTCAAGACAATATCAAGATAGTTTTTCCCAGAAATTGTTGTGCATTAAAGATTCTAATTCAATGCCAAAAAACTGACATTAATCCATTATAAAGAATATAAAGCCTTAAAAAGAATCACCGGAAAGGAACCAAAGCAAAAAGTGCACTACTCCCCATTCGTATTCCAGAGTTAATAACTCGCTCCTATAGAAAGCAAAAGAAAAAGAGATTAGGAAAAGAATAAATATTGAAGGATGAGATCTGAAATGCGTCTTGCAGGCTTTTCTCGGGTTCAGTGGTTCATTTGATAGGGGCTTTACGAAGCAAATAAATAAAAGACATTTTGCTGTATCAGGCACTTTCAACAAATTAAACTCAATATAGTGGAACGCCCCATCACAAAGCCCTCTTAACTCCCTGGGGACTGGAGAAAGCATTAAATAACATGAGTCTCAGACTCAATAATTTTCAGCATTGCTACTCTGCACCATCAATATTAAAAATTACACCTGCGTTGGACAACCTCAACCCCTGCTGAACCCAGGGGGTTTACATATTGAAATTAAAAATGCGGGCCCATTCTTGTTTTGTTTGGTAACATTTCTAAGATGCCATGAAGATATCAATTATAATTCCAGTGTTAGAATTATGCATCTACCTTTGCCTTGCTTGATGAAATCTATTTAATAAAATCATTTTAAATGTAACACATCTGTGCAAAATAGTTCCCCTCAAACATTCATTGTCAGTGCTTAAAGCTTCGTAAAATGTGGAAAGGCATAATTTACAGTGAATATCTGCTCTGTATGCTTGCTCATCATATGATTGCTGCACCTTTTATAGCTATAATTACCTTCCTTCTATGTTTAAATGATCAAGCTAATATAATTAATTTAATCTGAGTTTTCTTGCTTTTTCTTTCTTTTCAATGTCATTTGAATATTTTTTTCTTCAAACAGTCTTAGTCATTTTATTTTACTATCCCAGACATTATTATTGAGGAGGAATAAACAAGCAGATTTTATAACACTTAAAGGTGTTCAGCACAAATCCCTGTACTGTATATGCAAACAATATGAACAGGGATATTGGTTAAACGCAATAGCTAAAATAAGCCAAATTTATTTTTTTCACTGGGTTATAAATGACATTCAGTTTTGCTTTGAGGACAGAACTTCAAGAAGGAAGTTAGCTTGACAAACTGATACACCAATTTCCAGATTTACTTTTTTTGCTTAGTCACATAATTTTGGAGAAAAGAACCCCAAGAAATTTAATCTACTGTAGGTAAAAATAGTTATGTGTTCCTATACTAAACAATAGCCTTCTGTTTAAACCGAATCCCATCCAAACCAATTCTCCATTCTGAGCTGTGAGGGATGAGGTAGGTTGTTCTGTAGAGAAGAACAGGAAATAAAAAATCCTCTCATTTTCCAACTGCAGATCTTGCCTCGAGTAAATAAAAATATTTTTCTAATCATTCATAGGGACATACATCTTTGAATTTTGATTAAACATTTTTCCCTTAAAATAAACAAGAGAAGCAATTTAGAGGAATGTAGGTAATTGTCCCATTTCAGAAAGGAAAAACCTGTCACTGCGATGAAGAGGACACTATAAATAGTAGCAATACCCATATAAAGGAAAAGGATGGATTTTCTAAGCTGTCTTTATTTTACAGTTTTATGGCTAGGTTGAGATCCTTATATCTTTTTCCTTTTTAGTTGTCTCTGTCTTCAGCTAGATCAGAGTAAAAACTCTGATATCTTTGTAAAATCCTTTTGACAGACATTCTAGCTTTGCTGGCTTATCGAAGAGAAGTTGTGGGGAGCCATCAGGGATGGAGATCAGAAGGTATCTTTTCCTTAACAGTCCCCTGGGTCCTCATACTGTCTGCAGAGCTTTTACTTTTCAGTATTCCTGTACTTGAAAAGCATTACTTTAGTAACTCAGCTGTTATTGAAGTGTCCTAATTTAAGCACTGTGCCAGAACGCTTTCAGTTATATTTCAAAAGCCTGTGTACAACTTACTTGCACTCAGTCTGCTTCAATTCTTCTCTCATCTCTTTGCAGTACCAGATTTCCCCCACCTCCCAACAGGCTAGCTGAATAAAAAAAAAAATGTGTTTTTGTTTTCCATAAGAATCTATTGAATCTACTGAATAGAAGAGCTTTTGAGTCCTCTTCACAAGAGCTAACTTTACTTATATAACCATTTATTTGCCTATATAACCTTTACCTATATAAACATTTATAATCATTTCATATAACCATTTAAACCATTTCTTTACCTTTTCTGTCTTTTTCCAGTTTGACACTAGTTATTATCTTGCAATTGCAGGTATGCTAAATGAAGAGTTTTTAGTTAGGGCTCTGGCAAGTCCAGATTGTCCAGAGTATCCCCATAAATAAAAGGAATATTTTTGCACCTATGCCAAATCAATACAATATATCTTCACTGCTAATAATTATCATGGGAATTTGTATCACCTGTTCTGCATTTAATATCTTGTAGAACTATTTATAATGAATATGGGCTTAATCTTAATTTATTTTTTTCTTTATAGTTGTGGAAATTATAATATGAAGTATTCTTGGGATATTCTGAATTGAGCAAAGATACTGTAGGCATTATTTAACTTTTGGATCTTGGAACAAGCAACAGCAGTAATGAATAAAAAGAGAGTATATAGCATAAAGTATGACGTACATTTTCACGCTTCTGATAAAGATCGTCATGAAATGGATTTTTAAATTGGAGGCACTAGAAATAGACTATAATTACAATAAAACAGCATGTAGTGTGGAGTACATTTTCAGTTTAATGTTATATCTTACTACACAGATCTGGTTTAGGACCTCTGCCCCTAATTAACATTAATTATATAAATTCCCAGGTCACACAAATTAGAAAACACTGTAACAATATTTGGAGTATGGGAACACTATACTGTAAAAAACTGCCATCCTTTGGATAAAATATTAAACAGAGATCCAGACTCACTGTGCTCATTAAAGGTCCCGGGGCATTTCTTGAAATGAGTAGGGATATATCCCTGGCATCCTTGCCATTTGTCTTTGGTCATTGGTCAAATTCCTATTGGTCTTTACCAATCATGGCCTCCTAATAATCCCCAGCTATGAATTGGTTTCATCACTCCGTTCTGCTCCCCACTGATAGCTGATGTGTGGTGAGTGTCCTGTGTGCACTATGGTTGTTTTCCAAGTGGGTGTTGCACATTGGTGGTGGAGACCTGTAAAGCTCTCTGAGTGGAGTGTCCAGAAAGGTGCTATTTAAGTGTAAGGAATTGTTATTATTATTATACTGTACTAGTAGGTTAATTGGCTTCTGAGGAAATTGGCCCTGGTATGAATGTTTGTGTGTCTGTGTCAGTGTGTGCCCTGAGATGGACTTGCATCCTGTCCAGAGTATTGCTTGTCAGGCAAGGCTCTGGCTCCCCTGTGACCCTGAATTGAATGAAGTGGTTAAAAAAGGATGGGTGGATAAATTGCATGTTTGAAAGACTACAGAAAGTTTAATAAAAACAGCCTTTGTCACGCCCTCTACAGCCAGAGGGCGCTCCTACTCTGTCCTGTCCCTAATTTCCTGCTTTGCTGTCCTTCCGGTCTCTCTCTTTCCCTGGGCTATATATTTCTGGGTCTTTCATTCACCTTTGCTTACGTAGCATTGACGTTTGGATGTCCTGAAACATCCCCCCACGTCCGCTACCCGAGGGCATAGGTTTCTATATGGCTATTCCTGAACAGCTGAGCCCGGGCTAACCCCCGTCTCCCCGCTACACATAGGGTCTTTTCCGCTCTCCTGCCATTCTATGGTTCATCCTTTCCAACATCCATGATAGCCTTCATTACTGAAGTCGTTCACATACATTTGATATGAAGATTTCTATAGTTTCTACAGTGTCCAGGTCACACGTGCTACTAAGACTGGAGGCACACTCAGTCTTTAACATTTACAGATGAATTATTGTTTCATTTTCATGTTTCATTTTCATTTTCATTTTCATTTTCAAGTAATCACCTATCAATACTTCTATTTCACAGTGGTAACAAGTACCACAGTTTGTCAGCCAAGCTATTGAATTATGTACCTTGAAAGGCTTGTCTTCTCGGGAAAAAAATATAACTGAATCAAAGAAGGCTGCAAAATCTATGCTAAATCTGAATCTGAAATCTGAAAGCTAAATATTGCTGTCAAATGGAATGTCCAACAGAATAAAATTATCTAAATTCAGCATATTTCTAAGTGAAATATCAAGTTCTACCAAGTTAATTATTAATTTATTTGAGTGATGCTTTAACATAAAGTAGCTTACATTATTGCCCTTTTTAAAGAGCTGGACATTTTACTTAGTCACAGCAAGTGAAATAACCTTGGTCAAAGGCACACTAGCAGTGTCCCACCCAAGCTTTGATCCCATAACCATTCATATACAAGTCCAGTGTACTAGAAATACTGCCCCATACAACTGCCTTAGTAGTTATAGTTGTAGTACAGTATTTTGTTTCAGAAATGTTTAATTGAAAATCAAACTCTGAATCAGAAAAACAAACTGTAAAAAAAAATCCTTCATGAAAATTAAATTATTTCTGCATACCTCGAGTTCTCTAATGCTTAGAAAACTCACTAGAGCAGTCTCATTTTTAGATAATAGGAATTACTACCTGGTAATTGAAGGCTCCTTTTTATTCCCATTTCAATACCTGGAAACTCTAAAATATAAAACTGAATTACTAGAGATCTCCCTTCCTTTCTGCCTTTTATCTGTTGCTTTCCATTCACGTGGAATGTCTCCCACCAAGTGTTTTGTCAGTGAAATTGAACAATATCCTTTCTTGCCTTTAGTGGATACCTAGTTTTACCTATTAGTAAGTCAACACAGTTAGGTACTAACTGTGGTTTTCTCAAACTGTCAGATGAGGGGAAAGAGGACAAGGCAATAAGAGATCTTACTTTGACACATCCTGCTGAGAGATATCTTCACCAGACTGCTAGTCAAAAAAAAAATTATGTAGTGGTGAACACAAATCTCCAATTGAACAGTGGCATAAAAGCCAACTTGGGTTTCTAAGGCAAAACTGTCAAAGATTTTGCAACAATGTTAAAATGGCCTCCATGGATTTCCTGTCTAGGTGATTTATTCAACATCTTTACAATGTGGGGTAAAGATAGATAATATAGTGACAGTTTGTTTAAAGTTACATTTTATTTATGCTTGCAACAGGTACAGGGTTTATTTACTTCAGTCTGTGCCTTCGTGATTAAAAATAAATACACCCTCTTTTACCATTCATTGTCTTTATTAACTAGCTTGAACACAGTTTTTCTTGCTTTCCCAAACCTTGTGTGTTTATTCTTCTTATCACCTGCCACCTCCCTCATCTCCCAAACTACTTCTCTCAGACAGCTGTCTACTGCTGTATTCCTAAATCTGAAGTATGGGTGATTTTAATGAATTATGTATGAAAAAGACAGGGACCCTCTCAACATAAGAGTTTCCAAACACAAAGCACCTCATAATACTACTGCTAGTAATATAACAGATTTCATCCAGAAATATCCCAAATATCCTTTATAAGACCGAAGTCCCACTGCACAACAGGTCAGATGTTCATTTTTAAATGTTTTTTGTCCTTAAGCACAGCAATACATATCTTAACAAGAATGTAGTTCACCCACTCTGGAGCAGCTCAATAAAGAGTCTTTGAATGAATTTCTAACTTGAGTTTTGTAAAGCATAGGAGACTATACCCTTTTATAGATTAACCTCAATCTTTTACCAGGCTAGAAGTGACAGATCCAGGACTGGGCATATTAAATGACAAGATA